TTCCCTGTGGTAATGGTGAACATCTTTTCATGTGCTTATTTGATTTCTGTATACCTTCTTTGGTGAAATACCTGTTCATATCTTTTGCCTATGTTCTAATTAGTTTGTTTGCTTTTTTATTGTTGCATTTTGAGAGCTCCTTATACATTCTAGCTACTAGTCCTTTGTCAGATATGTGGTTTGCAAATATTTTTTCCTAGTTCATAACTTATCTTTTCATCCTCCTAACACGGTCTTTGGAAGAACAAAAGTTTTTAATTTTCATGAGGTCCATTTTATCAGCTTTTCCTTTTATGGATCATGATTTTGTTGTCTAGTCTAAAAAGTCTTTGCCTGGCCTCGATCCCAATGATTTTTTTTTTTTCTATCATGTTTTTTTTCTAAAAGTTTTATGTTTAAGTTCATGATAAACTTTGAGGTAATTTTTATATAAGAGATGTGACTCACATCAAGACTAAGATTTTGCTTATGGATATTCAGTTGGTCTGGTGCCATTTGTTAAAAAGGTTACCTTTTCTCCATTTAATTTTGTGTTCACCTTTGTCAAAAATCAGTTGGGCATATTTATGTGGGTCTATTCCTGGGTTATCTATTCTGATCCCATGATGCATGTGTCTGCCTTCTGCCAATACCATAGTATTGATTACTATAGCTGTATAGTAAATTGGATAGTTAAAATTGGTTAGACTGACTATGCCCACTTTCTCTTTTTTTTTTTTGAGACAGAGTCTTACTCTGTAGCCCAGGCTGGAGTGCAGTGGTGTGATCTCGGCCCACTGTAACCACTACTTCCCGGGCTCAAGCAATTCTCCCACCTCAGCCTCCCAAGCAGCTGGGACCACAGGCGGGCGCCACCATGCCCGGTTCATATTTTTGTATTTTTTGGTAGAGATGAGGTTCTACCATATTGGCCAGGCTGGTCATGAATGCCTGACCTCAAGTGATTCACCCGCCTCGGCCTCCCAAAGTGCTGAAATTACAGGCATGTTCTACAGTGCCCAGCCTTTCTTTTTCTTTATACAATTATTTTAGCTATTTTAATCCCCCTGCCTTTCCATATAAATTTTAGAATAATCGTATTTACATTTACTTTTTAAATGCTGTGATTTTGATAGGAGTTGCATTAAGCCTGTTTATCAACATAGGGAGAATTGACATATTTACTATGTTGAGTAACCACTAATCTGCTTTCTGTATCTATGGATTTGGCTATTCTGAACATTTCATGTAGATGCAGTCGTACGGGATGTAGCCTTTTATGTCTGGCTTCTTTCACTTAGTGAAATGTTTTCAAGATTCATCTATGTTGTAGCATGTGTCAGTTCTTTACTCCTTTTTATTATCAAATAATCTTCTGTTGTATAGCTATTCCACATTTTGTTTACCCACTCATCAGTTGATGGACATTTGAGTTGTTTACACTTACTGGACATAGTGCTGCTAAGAACATCAGTGTACAAATTTTTGTGTGAACATGTGTTTTTAATTCTCTTGGGCATATACCTAGGACTTGAATTGCTTTTCATATGGTAACTGTGTGTCTAATTTTTTGAGGAAATGCCAAACTGTTTTCCACAGCAGCCACACCACTTCACATTCCCAGCAGCAATGTAGGAGGGCTCTATTTTCTCCACATCATCACCAATGCTTGTTATTGTTCATCGTTTTGATTACCATCTTTGTGGGCATGAAATGGTATATTATTACGGCTTTGATTTGCATGTTCCTAATGACCAATGTTTGAGCACCGTTTTATGTCCTTTTTGGCATTTGTGTATCTCCTATGGAGAAATGTCTATTCAAATCATTTGTCCATATTTACGTTGGGTTATTTTTCTTCTTATTTGTTGAGTTAGAAGAGTTCTTTTGGCCAGGCGCAGTGGCTCACACCTGTAATCCCAGCACTTTGGGAGGCCAAGGCAGGTGGATTGCCTTAGCTCAGGAATTCAAGACTAGTCTGGGCAACATGATGAAACCCCGTCTCTACTAAAATACAAAAAAATTAGCCAGGCGTGGCAGCGTGCACCTGTAGTCCCAGCTCCTCGGGAAGCGGAGGCAGAAGAATTGCTTGAACCCAGGAGACAGAGGTTGCAGTGAGCCAAGATTGCGCCACTGCACTCCAGCCTGGGTGACAGAGCAAGACTCCGTCTCCAAAAAATAAAAGTAAAACAGAGTTGTTTTATATATTCTGGATACTAGAGTCTTGTCAGTAATATGATTTGCAAATATTTTCTCCCATTCTGTGGGTTGTCGAGGGTTTTCTTTTTCTTAGCTGGAGGAGTAGCTAAGTACATCTACCCCATCTTTCTGGAAGCAGAAGTCTCCCAAACTAGTCTTGTAAAGCTTTTGGAAGGGCCAAAGTATGTTTCATTGCTTAAAACTCACAGTATTTTAAAGTCAGTGTGGGAGAGAAATCTTATTCTAGTGTTCAATTTTTTTTTTGTTTCAAATTTAGAAATTATTCTAAAGTCAATTTAGGGGAGAGATTTTTATTTTAATGCTTATATTTCTGTGCGTTTTTGTGACTTACCTCCCTGTGTATTCAGAAAAAGTTTTCTACCTGGTGTGCAGCAGCCTATGCGTTACGTGCCAAGACACAGATCCCTACAGCCCTTTGGGTAGCCAACAGGGCCTGGATCAACCCAAACCCAGCATTGTATCCACATTGTATCATTGTATGTGTGTCATGAGGTGAAAAGGATAAAGAGTTAAGACAACAGAAAAGGGGCCTTATAGCCCAAGTTAAGAGTACGGAGTTTCTACCTGTAGTATGTTTTTAAGCTCTGCAGTCAGAGCATTGAAAATAGGCACAGCAGTGAGTGAGCATTTCTCATTTTTAGGCTAAATAGATGGGTCTTTCATCTTTTCTTACCAAACAGCAAGCAATTCAGAGTAATCACAAGAAATCAAGAATTTTGTGATATCTCCTGCCTTCACCCAAATCACCTTCTACTGAGTTCTTCAAAGACTGCTATCTTCCTCCTGGGTAAAGATTATTTTTTTGTTTTTATACCTCTGGCTCTGCTTCTCATATGAACTCAAACACTGATGTGTGGCCATGGCTAGAAATCTCAGAATTATTTTGAACTTCAAATATTTCTTTTGTTCCATAGGTGCCTGTGTGTGTCTTACCAGCTCCCCAGCACTGCCAGACTGTGCCATGAATGGATTATGCTTCTGATGAAATCCCTGGCTGCGTTTTGTTCAGTCACCACCGCAGGGTTCTTGTATATTCTCAAGCACCCTCTCTGGGTTTCTGTTTTGCAGCACTGTAGGCTGATTAAGGGACACTTTCCAAACCACAGGGCTCGCCTTTTATTAGTCCCCACAGTCTTTCATTGGCTGCATTGTCCTCTCATTTCTATCTATATTCAATCTCATTTCCAATTTCTTTAGCTTTCTGAAATTCTGTAGGCTTTCTCCACTCAGTCTTTTCTAGCCTTATTTTTGTCTTTTTAAAAATTCACCTTCCTTTTATTATCTCTAGACAAACTATTCATTCCCTCTTTTCTTCTTTAGGCTCTACTTTTCCTGAATATTTGCTAATAGCCTTGATTGTAAGCATCAAACTCATTATAGACTAGGTACTCTTCATTTTTATTTGTTGTTTAATTCTGTTCCTTCCGTCAAAGGAAGAAATGTATGTGAAAGGCTTTTATAAACCAGAAAGCACTATACACACATATCACTTATTGAGGTTAACAAAGGACCACTGTGCCTCTTTTCATGCTTTCTGCTCTTCCGAGCCAAGAGAACTTCTCCATAGAGGAGGGAAATATTGAAGAAAAATAAAGCCATGGAGTTGTCTCTTAGCAACTGAGTTCGTGCCTTATAAATCTCATCTACTTTAGATTACTGCTGCACAAAATCACTTGCTTTTCTTAGTGGCTCTGTATAAATAATGTTATTAAATTATAGGAAAACAATGGAAAAAATCTAATGAATGACTCATTCATTTAATCAGTTGTACTCTGTCTTTGCATAGCACTATTGATATAGTTGGGTTATTTCTTCCTCTTGAGTCTAATTGTAAAGTTTTGTTATATATCTTTTATCAGAACTTTAGTTGTAAGTAAACAAAGTAGAAGCTAAATTCTACCTTATACATTTCTAGGTTGCTTAAATCGTGAAGCAATATGAGTCATATATGTAGCACATAACATATGCTGTGTATAAGTCAAGTTGTACATAGTTTAAAGAAAATCAGGTGTACAGAAACTCAGACCAAATTGGGAAGTATTTGCATTATAAAAGAACTCATTATAAGGATTTTTCAGATAGTAGATCTCCATAGTATATTTCGTTCATTTCATTCAGCAAATGTATCTTTTTCCTTTTTATTTATTTATTTATTTATTGAGACGAAGCCTCACTCTGTTGCCCAAGCTAGAGTGCAGTGGCAGGATCTCGGTTCACTGCAACCTCTGCCTTCCGGGTTCAAGCGATTCTCCTGCCTCAGCCTCCTGAGTACCTGGGACTACAGGTGCGGACTACCATGCCTGGCTAATTTTTATATTTTTTAGTAGAGATGGGGTTTTACTATTTAATTTATTATTTATAAATTAGTAATTTATAAATTAGTAATTTGTAAATATAAATTTACTATTTAATATTGGTCAGACTGGTCTCGAACTCCTGACCTCGTGATCCTCCCGCCTTGGCCTCCCAAAGCGCTGGGATTACAGGCGTGAGCCACCACGCCCAGCCTATTTATTTCTTTATTTTTTATACAGTTGGGCTCTCACTGTGTTGGCCAGGGTGGTCTTGAACTCCTGGCCTCGAGCAATCCTTCCACCTCAGCCTCCCAAAGTGCTGGAATTACAGATGTGAGCTACCACGCCTGGCCATTTTTTTTTTTTTTTTTGAGATAGAGTCTCACTCTGTCACCCACACCATAGTGCAGTGGTACATTCTTGCTCACTGCAACCTCCCCTTCCTGGGCTCAGGTGACACTCCTACCTCAACCTCTCAAGTAGCTGGGACTATAGGGATGCGCCACCATGCCTGGCTAATTTGTGTGTATGTGTGTTTTGTAGAGACAAGGTCTCACTATATTGCCCAGGCTGGTCTGGAACTCCTGGGCTCAAGCAATCCTGCCTCCTCAGCCTCCAAACATGCTGGGATTACAGGCATGAGCCAGTGCACCTGACCATCATTCAGCAAATATTTTTGAGTGTCTCCTATGCTAGGCAATGGAAGGGATAAAGATTGTGCATGCATGCATGTTGTGTGTGTGTGTGTGTGTACGTGCCCATAAATAGTCTTTGGCTTTCTGTCTAGTAAGGTAGGTAAGACAATACAGTGATAAATGCCTTGTGGGTTGTAGGCCGAGTGCTGTAGAAGCTCAGAGGAGGGAAAGGTCAATTCCTGCTGGGTGGGCTATGAGTATGTGGCAAGGTGATACGTTAGAGAATGGAAGACCAGGAGTTTGTCAAGTTAAGTAATTAAGGCAACATTAAGAAGTAGTGAGTTGGTGTCCAGTGCTAGAGCAAGGAGTTTCAGCTTTAGTTAGGATGCAAAGGGGAGCCACTGACTTTTTTTTTTCTGTTTGATCAAAAAGTCTTATCTGGGAAAATGTATCTGGCAGTAATGTGTAATTTCAATTTAAAAAAAAATTGGTTCTTGGATAGTCTTTTAGGCTCCTTTTGTATGAAACAAAGCCATGTTTATAAATAAGTGAATTATGAAATGGATTCATTTCCAATCTTTTTAAAAGGTAGTCAGAAACTATTTTCAGATGCAATTAGATACAGTAAGATAGGCTACGTAGTTAAGATATAAGCAGTTTACAAAGTGGGATAAAAATGCTACTTTTCATAATTTCTCAAACCATTTTTAGGGGTATTTTTATGTCAGCCATCCTGCTATCTCATTTGTCCAATTAAAACAAGGAAGAAATCCTCCATTCTCCTTTTTTCCCCATTCTTGGATAGAATGAATGTCTGTAGTGAAAAGAACTCGTCAGTAGTCCTCTCAGATTTGTTCTGAATTTCACCAAGTATTTGTATAATTCTGCAAAAAACGTTTGTTTCTCAGCCTTCTCCTTTAGGGAGAAAACAAATAGTGGGCGTGATGGCCTACCTCCCTGCATTGTGGTGAGGGTCAGCTGATACAAGATAAAGTGTTAAGTGTAATTACCCTGAAATGTTTGTAATTAATGGAGAAATGAAGTGTAGACACTTTGTTAGTAGAAACCACTGTGGTTTGGAAATGCAGTGTTTCAATAATAAAGACTGGATAAATAAGGTCGTGGTTTGGAAATAAAGTATTTCAATAATAAAGACTGGATAAATAAGGTCGTGGTTTGGAAATGCAGTGTTTCAAAATAAAGACTGGATAAATAAGGTCGTGGTTTGGAAATGCAGTGTTTCAATAATAAAGACTGGATAAATAAGGTAGTGGTTTGGAAATGCAGTGTTTCAATAATAAAGACTGGATAAATAAGGTCGTGGTTGGAAATGCAGTGTTTCAATAATAAAGACTGGATAAATAAGGTCATGGTTTGGAGATGCAGTGTTTCAATAATAAAGACTGGATAAATAAGGTTGTGGTTTGGAGATGCAGTGTTTCAATAATAAAGACTGGATAAATAAGGTCGTGGTTTGGAGATGCAGTGTTTCAATAATAAAGACTGGATAATTAAGGTCGTGGTTTGGAGATGCAGTGTTTCAATAATAAAGACTGGATAATTAAGGTCGTGGTTTGGAGATGCAGTGTTTCAATAATAAAGACTGGATAAATAAGGTCGTGGTTTGGAGATGCAGTGTTTCAATAATAAAGACTGGATAAATAAGGTCGTGGTTTGGAAATGCAGTGTTTCAATAATAAAGACTGGATAAATAAGGTTGGCTACTAGTGTTTTCCATTCCTCAGGGAATTTACAACACAAGATGATCCCCACCTCTCACTATTAAGGAAGTAGCATTTCCTACAAATTTACCTCATGATTAATTGTGTTTTTTTACAACACGACAAGAAAAGACATGTTTTTCAGGAAGTTGGAAATGCGAATCCTGGATTAGTTACTAACTTGCCGTGACATCAGACAAATCAGGTGATCCTTTTTGTCCCTCATTTTCTGACTAGATTGCCTAAAGCTTCCCTAGCCGAAAGAAACTACCTGCCACGTCAATGACACTCAACTGTGGGTGACTCAGGGACATATAACCTAAAGCTACTGGGTAAAATATTTTAAGAACGAGACTTGGGAAGCTGAACAGGATATTGATTTGCCGTCTTCTTCCCCCATTGTATTGACCAGGCAAGTCCACGCCTGAGTTCAGAGTTGCAGTGGGCAGGAGAGATGTGTGTGTCCAGGAAGAAATCGTGGCTTCTGCTCGGAAGATCTGGTCACATCTCAGGTCAATTGCCGTCTGAAGAACCTAGGAAAGACTGTATTTGGTTCTAATCTTGGTGATTTGGGCCTCTTCTGAGAGGTATTCAGTGTTTCTCTTGAGAAGGCTTAGGCCTTCCTAGCAGCCCTGACTGCCTTCATTTCTCTTGGAACTTCCAGGTCCAGGCCTACTCTGAATCCTCCTTTTTGGTCCTGGATACAGAGAGTGTGTGTCTTAAGACCAAAAAAAAAGAAAAAGAAAAAAGAAAACAATGGTGGATTTTTATTCCATGGTGAATTCATGGTAAAGATTTAATAATAGCCAATGAAATAAGTTGTTTTTTTGAAAATGTATTTTGGGTTTCAGAGCAAGGATTTTCTTTTTCTACCTCTCACCCGAATGTGAAGAAAAGTTCAGAATAGTCCTTGAAAATGTCAGTTCACGCTACTATTAATTGAAAGCATTTCTTTTATCTGATACTGGGGCTGCATCTGACTAGATCCTCTCCAGGCTTAAAAAGCTAGGAGCGCAGTTTTAGAAATGAGAAATTATTTTGAATGTTTTCCTTTTGCCATACCAGAAAGAGCTTGCTGCGTTGAATTGAATCAAATCGAAGCACACCCAGTAAAAAATAATAGCCCCTGGCGTGACAGCTAGAATTTAGTTGGAAACCAGAAGGTTCCTGGCTGAGTTTTTTAAGTTTGAAAACCTCCAAACCACCTTGGCCAGTACCTAGTATTGTAGAAACATACTGTAAAACATGAGGGCTGGGGGCTCTCTGCAGTGGCGAGAATCTGCTGTTGTTTCTCAGCACATTAAATCTATGGTGAATACTAGTGTGTAGACTGTGTAGTCTAGTTCAGACTGCAACGTGAGCATGAATAATAGAAGAGCAAGTTCAGGAAAGAGAAGGAAACTGTGAAGACAAAGCCGAGAGGAGAGGGTTGCTTGGGTAACCACAAAGGCACATTTTAGACATTCAAAGAACACTGCCTCCTTTTTGCTCCTCTTCTATATATCTTCCCCACAAAAAGATCATCAGCGGGGGCAGGGGAGATAAAAGGAGGAGAAAAGCCTAGACTTGAAAAACAAATTGATAGAAAATGATCATCTGTATCTCCTGGATCTTTTCAATGTTTTGGGGGTATGCATCCCAGCTTAAACACATTCTACCAAAACATTTCGCTCGGCTCTGCAACTTTTAATAATGCTGTATTATCCAAAAGATTTTACTGTGTGTGGTCTGTATGCTGCTGTCCAGAATCCCTAAGAACAGGACAGGAAAGCTTAGGGGATACTTTTCCTCCATTCTGTTTCCACAGTGGTGCTCATTTGCTTCCATTTAAAGTATATCTAAAACCCTTATTTTCTTTTTAGGTAACAGTATGACTAAATATACTGAGAAGCTCGAAGAGATTAAGAAAAGTAAGTAACACTCTTGATGGTTTGGGAAAATGGAAGTCTACAGTTGTTCTATAAGTTGGTTCTTAACTAACAATTGTGTTCTACAGCTGACAGGCACAGAGAGCTATGGATGATCCGATAAGCCTAGCAGGTGCCTCAAGGGCTGTGGGAGATCCTGGGTGCTGTACTGGGCTGCTCCTCAGATTGTGGCTTGTAGGCCTAAATTCTGCCCTACTTCTATCCCATAGGAGACATTGGTGTTGGCCTGTGGAGTCAGATCTAGTGGAATGAGCTCTGGTTAAGCTTCTAGTGTCATTGTACTGCAATCTTCATGCCCTTCTTCAAGATATTTCATCTTTTCTGTCTTATTTTGTCTCTATTTGAGATAGGGGTAATAATATCTTCCTTCAGAACATTCTTGTGTGCATAAATGAGAGTATTCATGGAAGACAGGGACATGAGAACTTAGTGTTATGTATTATCAATTCATTGCAGTCTGTTTTCTTTTAATTAAAAATCATATTTCATCTACGTCCTTTTAAAAAGCTAGTCTGCAAAGATATGTTACCAGTCATTGAGTGCATTGCCCTTGCGCAAAATCATAATTTTTCAATCTGCTTCCAAAACTGATGTAAAGTGTACACTTCAAGGCCAGAATTAAGGAAGAAGTAGAAACATCTATTTTCTAAGATGGATTTGCTCGTATCTTGAATACGAGAACCCAGTGCTAGGGGAGTAGTTAATGGTGGTAAAGAGGTACTCTGATTGATCATAGTTCAGGACTTGGCTCTGGTAATGTACATTTTCTTGGAAGAGAAAATTGCACATCGAGAATACATCAGAACATTTTCTTTTGTTACACAGCAGACCTTTTTATTTGAAATCAAAGTTCCATTTGAAGTGCTGTAATATTGGGAAACCCCAACCAATAGATGTGGACTCAGGAGCCGCTTTATGCTGTGTTTTCATTTGCCATGTTCAGCTATAAGGGCTCATGCTATAGACTTCTTAAAAATATGTAATGCCACAGTATCCTTCTCTTTTCTTCCTAAACATTTTATATTACATAAGTATATGTATTTTAAATATTTATATAAAATATATACTTTTAAACTCTGAAGAAAGATCGCATTTACTCACCTATACTTCATTGTTGCCATCCTTAACTTATCCAAGGCAGGCAGAATCCAGCTGTCCTGCTTCTTTTGGGGTTTGTCGTCTCTGTCACCTCTCATCCATTTGCAGCTGAGTGTGAGTTCACATGTCCTCACTAGAAATTTGTCCCATAAAAATGTCCCATTCCGCCCAGGTTGCCAGAACCTCACTTAAAACATTTCCTCAAAGTACAATGTGGTTTCTTTTAATATCTAAACCTTGTGTGGAGGTGATCTCCCAGAAGAAATACCTTTGGAAAACAGCCTTGAAAATGCTCACTTCACTTTCCCTCCGTAGGAGTGGAAGGCTTCCTTTTAGTAGAGCAGGAGATTCCTGTTACCCCATTTCACACACTTTGTGCTGATTCCCTGACAGAATTGCTTTAGATTCTGGTTTGGCATCTACATTTTGGAAGATATTTCCTTCTCTTTCCCCATTTTCTGTTGTAAGTATTCTTTGGGGTTGAAAGGGAGGAGAATATTCCCTTGTTTCATGATACCCTAGACCCATCACTTTACTCAGATTACCTTAGATGCCATTTCTTTCTGTGAAACCACAAACCTTGTTCTGTTACTTCCTTTGATTTGTCTTCCACTGTGAGCCCAACTTCCCTTTGCTAATAACACATTTCAACAGAACCCTGAAAATGCAGAAATCCTTTGTAATCTGAATATGCTTTCAACTCTACCTGGGGAAAATAGACAGTCTATGTCTATTGACAATTTACAAAGCCCATTCTTGGTTTCTGGTGGTTAGATGACACTAGTTGGACCCAGTGTGAAACATCCTAGATAGTCAGGTCTCTGTCCTTCCAGTAACTCGAGAGAGACAGACTTAGAACCTAGACTTACTGGAGAAGAAAACCTTGATAACGTATCTGAAACAAGGATTGTCTTCAACACAGAGTTTGGGAGAAGACACACAGCAGAAGCTCCATTCTTAAAGCTCTGTTCGCTCTTGCAAGGACAGACTGACAGAGCCTTCCCAATCATCCTTTTTATAAAAATTTAAACTTACTGTAAAACATCTAGTTTGATCTTTTATCTCTGAGTAATCATGTCAGAAAGTCCTACTGACGGCTGTCCTTCTAAACCAGAACCAGGTACGTAGAGTTCAGGTTCAAATATTTAGGGGGCTTCTAGTGCTTGTGCAGAAGACAGTAGAAATGCCAATCTTTAGAATAAAGCAGTCTTTTGTTTGTTTGTTTGTTTGTTTAAATTAATCTCTGTTTAGTTAATGGGGATTTCAAAGTATACATTTTATGCTTAGAAGCATTTTAAACCATGTAACCATACCAGAAGAATATCAGTGGATAAATGTCACAGTGAAAACTACTTGAAAGCTGTTAGCTGTTTCCATTTGCTGATTTACTGTTGTTTTGATTTGCATAAATGACTTATGGTGGGCAAGTTGGTGGCAATCAAAAGGAACACTGTAGTTATTCGGTTGTACTTTGTAAAGCCTCAGCTCGGCCTATATGGGTCTGCATCCCGGCAGGTTTTAGAAGTTCCACTGCCTATAGGTTTGCTACTTTGTTGTATCCAGAAGCAACATCTCTAAGCATTTTCTAGAAGTAATGGTCTGTTATTAGCCAAATTACTCTCTTTAAGACATTTTAGAACAGAGAAGTTTAGTTCCCTATTTTAAAAAAGCCTTGATATATTTACAGAAGGCTAGTTTTTAAAGTAGTATCATTTCCTGACTCTGAGTCTTAAGGTGCTTGGTAAACCAAGATTACATTATCCTCCAAAGTCACCACCTGGTCTGTGCTGGTTTTTGGAAAATTCATGGAAGTGATTAGTTACACCAGGTAAATAATCTTAAATACCTTTAATCCTTTCCTTTGTTGCTAGGAGTCTTGGTTTACGAGACATTTATGCTGTGAAGGTCATAGCAATTAACCAGCTAACCTTGAATAATTCTGAAATAATGAAGCAGCATTTAAGGAGTCACGGGTACCAATATAAAAACCTAGGTGAGGAGGAAAGGATAAGGGTGGGCAGAGTTCAACACTGAAAACCATTCAGAATTTGACTATCATCTTCAAAACAGTTTAAGGACGCTAGCCTTTAACACACATCTATGGAACAGGTAACAGATAAAGTGCGACTGGCTTCGTTTTTAACAATTGTTTAATGTGACGGGAAGAATTATTAACACAAGTACGGAAGTACCTATATTTGAGTTACAGCTCAGAACTGTAAAGACAGCACTGAATAAATGTTGATGTTTTAAGTTGTTTTTTTGTTTGTTTGTTGTTTGTTTTTGAGACACAGTTTCACTCTCGCCCAGGCTGGAATTCGGTAGTGCAATCTTGGCTCACTGCAGTCTCCACCTCCCAGGTTCAATTGATTCTCATGCCTCAGCCTCCGAAGTAGCTGAGATTACAGGCGTGCGCCACCACACCCAACTAATTTTTGTATTATTGGTAGCGATGGGGTTTTGCCATGTTGGCCAGGCTGGTCTCAAACTGCTGAACTCAAGTGATCCGCCCACCTCAGCCTTCCAAATTGTTGGGATTACAGGCGTGAGTCACCAAACTTGGCCTAAGTTGGTTTTATTTTATTTTATCTTTTTAAATGGTGGGGCCGGGTGCTGTGGTTCACGCCTATAATCCCAGCACTTTGGGTGGTTGAGGTGGGTGGATCACTTGAGGCCAGGAGTTCAGAACCAGCCTGACCAACATGGTGAAACCCCATCTCTACTAAAAATACAAAAATTAGCCAGGCATGGTGGCGGGCGCCTGTAATCCCAGCTACTCAGGAGGCTGAGGCAGGAGAATTCCTTGAACCTGAGAGGCAGAGGTTGCAGTGAGCCGAGATCACGGCACTGCACTCCAACCTGGGCAACAGAGAAATAATAAATAAATAAATAACATAACATAACATAACATAACATAAAATAACATAAAATAAAATGGTGGTAAACCACAAAAACAAAAACACAGAACACCTAACATCATAATGGTTTTTAAGTGTACAGGTCAGTAGCATTAAGTATTTTCACACTGTTGTACAACAGAACTGCAGAACTTTTTCATCTTGAGAAACTGAATAGGTTAATTTTTATCAAATTGAAGTTGGAGAGAAGCTGAGAGATGATCAGAACCAATCACAGCTGTGTGTCCAGCCAAGCACACACGTAGAAATGTCGTCCTGTGGCTCCAGCATAGTGTGTAATGGCAGGAATATTTTTGCTCTCTTTTTAAGCTGGAGTCACAATAGTGGGGCATGAACGTCTTATCAGCTGTTCAGCTTCTCTGAGTCTCTGTCCTCATTTGTAAAACACAGACATTTCTTCCCTGCTTTGCTCTGAAAAGGATTTGAGGTGGCTTACAAAAGTGCACGGAGTACAATGTAGTCAAAGTGGAGACAACTTAGTGAAAGGGAAATGGTAGACTAATAAAATAAAGGCAAGGGGTAGTCACTAGACCAAAGGTAGTTTGTAAATTAAACTTCGAGCTTCCTAATGACAAAGCAAAGGGAAACAAATTAAACAGATGATACTACTACCTGCCACACCTAATTTTGAGGATATCATGAGGCTCAAATGAGATAATAGATTTAAAAGCATATAAATAACTTGAAAGACCACGTAACTTGACAGCTAGAAAGAATAGCTCTAAAAAAGCAAAATAAATCTAAATAAATATTTGTCTTACCATATTTTTCAGATTATAGATACAAAAAAGATGAGCTTTTCAAGAGACTAAAAGTTACAACTTTTGCCCAGCTGGTAAGTTTCTTGATCTTCCCACTGGAGTAAAGACTGTCTAATTCGTGTCACTTTATGTGAGTGTTTCTAAATTCAACTCTAGGGAATCTTTGCCGAGGAGTTTCTTCTGATTCTTTGTATGTCGTTCAGCTATGGGAAAATTAATTGGTATGTGGTATGTGTGTTCACACGAGGATGGTGAGAAATTTTTCTCTCTTCTTTGATAAGAATTCTGTAAAGTAAATGTTTGCCCTACTTTTAATTCATTAAACTTGTGGTTTAGGGGTTTTTTTCCTTATACATTTAACTTCATAGTTAGAATCTACAATTCTGGATCCTGGATTGTTTCAGCATTTTTCTCTGGAAACCAAGTGATTTCTCCTTTTCTTGGACTGATCTTTTCCAAATCATCCTACCAAAGCTGTTTTGTTATTTTGGGCAAGTCACTTTCTTCTTTTATTTGAAAATTTTGGAGAAGGTGTCATCCAGCTCCCAAGCACAAGTCCCACCGGCATCACTCAAGTTGAATCTTGGGTCTTGTGAGCTAAGTTGTGAAAAGTGCTTTAAAACTGAATACTGTATAGAAGTAGAAGACACTGTAATCAGTGTATCTGTTATTACATTTACATTTACTTCTTCATTGTGTGGAGAATTGCTGATCCCATTCTATGTTATGCTAGGTCAGTATTGCATTTTCAAGAAATAATGTGTAATGCTTGGATCACGATATATACGGATGTGGTTTTAAACTCTTCTTCATGTTTCTTGTCCTAAACTATCCTCTTAGCATTCTAAGTTTATGTAGTGTTCTAAATGTGCTTTTCTTCTGAAATGATCATCTGCAGTGTATTACCAACACAAAAGGAAGGAGGCCTGAGATTCAGTCTTCAGTTGAGGACACTGACAGCTTCTTCAAACAAGAGATCTTTGATGTTTGTTGTTTCCTCGTCTTTTGTAAAAGACAAAATTGCCTCTGTTTAAAAACAAACAAACATCCACACATTTCATTCTTTTTTCTATCAGATCATCCAAGTTGCTTCCCTCTCTGATCAAACACTGGAAGTGACAGCTGAGGAGATTCAAAGGCTGGAAGGTAATGAGAATTGAGGGTGTGGGGAAAATAACAGGCTGACCATTTGACTGAAACACTCACCCTGTACACATTTGCTGTCTTTTCCCAGGGACTGGGACTTTGATGTGTCTATTTGTAATTAGATTGTTACTCTCAGGGAAATGCTACCTGATACTTTAGTTGTTCATTCTTATTTTAAAAAGCCATCTGGTTTTCTGGCTCTAACACTTACAGTTTTAAATGTTTTAGATGTGTTTAAAATACTAATTACTTTTTTCAATGAATATTTTTAGCATTCTGTATACCCACACATTAAGTGCTATGAGACTACAGAGATGAACAAAGCACAGCTCTGCTGACATGAAATTGACAGTCACATGTGTGCACATGCACACATGTGTATGTGTTAGGTGGGCTGAATGCTAACAGTACCACAGAATTACTAAGGTGGAAGAATTTTTAAATGGAGGAATGGAAGGAAACCATCGTTTGTTGGCTGTATATTGCAAGGTGAATTCACATGAATTTTCTTACTTAGTCTTCTTAAAAACTCTGGAAGGAAGGTACACATGACCGATGAGAGGCCCAAGCTGCAGAGGTTAAGCTGCCTCCTCAAAGTGATACAGCTAGTAAGGAAGGGACCTGGGTTACAAATCTAAGTGTCTGCAGTAGCATCCAGTGTCTTCTTGCTGCCTTCATTGTACCCTTAAGGGACTGAAAAGTGCTTTTAGGAAAGATGCAGGATGTTGTGGGAGAGTTCCAAGGAAGGAAAGACACTTCTAGTTAGAAGACTGAGGTAGGCAGCCAGGCACAGTGCCTCACGCCCAGTGCCTCACGCCCATAATCCCAGCACTTTGGGAGGCCAAGCGGGGAAGATCACCAGGTCTACTCAGGAGGCTGAGGCAGGAGAATCACTTGAACCCAGGAGGCGGAGGTTGCAGTGAGCTGAGGACTATACCACTGCACTCCAGCCTGGGCGACAGAGCGAGACTCCGTCTCAAAAAAAAAAAAAAAAAAAAAGGAAGAAGACCGAGGTAGGCTTCCTCAAGGCACTGGAACTGGACCTTGAAGTGGGGTAGAATCTCAACAGGTACAAGTTAAAGATGAGGCTGTTGCAGGCTGAGGAGCAGCCTGCGAAAGGCATGGAGAGGACAGCACACCAGGCATGTTTGGGGAATTGAGTCATCCAATCTGGCTGTGGTCTAAGGGACTAGTAGGCACTGGGTAGGAGATAAGGCTAGAAAGACAGGTAGGCTCCCGATCTCCTTTCTTAAATACCAAGTTGAAAATAAAACCTCCTAGTTGTACTCTCATGAAAAGAATCCACAGAGTTAAGGTCTTTATTTTATCCTGAAGTACCCAGCAATCAGCGTGTGGCTGTTTATTGAAGAGGAATGTGTTTTGTTAAGGTTGATGTAGGTCAGGAATTTGACTTCTGATTTCAAGACAAGTTTCTCAGGAAGTCTGAACACTGGGTTTGTGCAACTCAACTGTCATTTCCCCGGGCTGGTTTTTGTTAGGAAGGATAAAGAGAATCTGAAAACGACAGGAATTTATCTTTGACAGATGCCTCTCACAAAGCAGAGAAATAAGAGCTCTTTGTAACAGAGATAATTGAGTCTCCTCATACAAGTACTCCCAATTTTAACTGGGTTATATAAGCACCTAGATTTGGTCCTTCAATTCATTGTTGAGATTGCAGCACCCGAACATATGGGCACATGCAATTTTCTCTTCTGAGATAAATTTGCGCAGCAAAGTAGGCTCTTGTAAAGTAGGACACCATAATGTGTGAGTAATATTAGTGTTTTTCTAGTGCTCTACACAGATAATAACTCACTCAGGAGTGCCTGGGGAACAGATTGTATCTGTATACATACTGGCTATCTTTGAAGGGATTAAAAACAAAAAAAAACTCCTTTTATAATGTTTATCGCTTTTTCCTAACTTAAAAGTGTGTTTCTAGTAAGTTAGGAAGCCATAAAAAGTATATAAAGAAGCAAATTAAATAACTAATAATCACTCTGTATGTTTTGGTCCGCTTTCCCCCTCTCTAACCCCTCACCCCAATTAAATCTATATTCTTTGTATAATTTTGTATTGTGCTGTTTTCAGTTACCCCTTTTTCATTCATACTTTCCCTTGTCGCTAAATAGGCTTCAGAAGCATGACTATAAAGATTGTGTTGTCATCTAATGTCTGTCCTTTGGATATACCATAATTTAATGGTATATCCATTAAATGGTATATCCATTATCCATAATTTAATGCTCTTGTTGGGCATTATAGTTTTTTCTGATTTTTCACCTTTATAAAATAATGCTACAATGTATATATGTAAATGTTTGTATGATTCTGATTATTTCCTGAGGATAAATTGCTGCAGAGGGTCAAAGGGTGGAACCATTTTAGACACCCAGTGCTGACTGCCGCATTCTCTCCAGCATGGTTCTACCTGTTTGCATTCTCACCAGGAGTGAATGAGAAGACCTGTTTTTCCTCATCCTAGCCAAAGCTGAATAATTAGCATTTCTGTAAATATTCTCCAGTTTAATAGATGAAAAATAGTATCTAATAGATTTTTATTTCTTTGATAGTAAGATTATGCTCTGTGTGTGTGTTTACTGGTCATAAATACATATTTCTTCTTTTAAGGAGTTTATACGCTCTTTTTCCTTTCTTTCTAATAGGATGTTCATCTTTTTCTTACGGATTTGTGAGAGTTCTGAATAATTATGATATCTTTATACAGTGGAGAACAATACTAACTTGACAATGCATGAGGAAAAAATCTTGATTAGTTGGAACAATTTCCAGGCTATATTAAGTAAAAATAAAACAACAATAAAACAAAAACCCAAAGTATAAAATAATATGAATAGAATTCTCCTGGGGAAGAAGTAAAATATATGCAAGCACATGTAAATGTTTTATTTCTGGAATGAGACATAAATACGTGAAAGTGTTTAGCACACTGATACGTCCCTTGGGGAAGGAGGCAGGAGGGCCCGCATGTCTTCGGTGGGGAAAAGACTTCCTTTCCATGTTAACAATTTAACCTTGTTTGCATTTTTGCCTCGTGCACATGATCTTATTGCATTTTTACTCTTTTCACCTTATATTACAGAGCTAGTTAATTTTTTAAATCTATAAATTAAGTATATTAACCTTCTTAATTTATGTGTGTTACAGATCTTTCTCCTAATTTGTTATTCACCTTTTAATTTTCTTCGTGTTGGTTTTTGATATATATGAGGTTGCATTTTTACATGATCAAATCTATTAGCCCATACTGTTGTTTTCTTTCATTGCTTTAGACTCATAAAATTCAATGTTAGTAAATTATTTACCTACATTTTCTTCTATTGGCTTGTTTGTTTGCATTTAAACCATCTGGTATGTATTTTGATATATGACACAAGGTGATTATTTGAATTAGATTTTTCCAGATAGTTGAGAAATATTCCCAGCACCATATACTCAGTAGTTCTACCTTTACCCACTGATTTATGATATGGATGTATTGACTTTTTGTTTATATTCTTTTCCATGTTCTCTATTATATTCCATTGTTATGGTTGCAGTGCTGTACTATTTTGATCATTTACCTTTTTAACATATGTTACTATTTGATAAGGCAGGTCTCCAAATCGCCCCTAATTATGTATGTATATACATATATTTTCCTATTTCCTCATATATATGAAAAACCAACACATCAAAAACCCATGGGTATATATTGCTTCCAGAATACATATTCAGTCTTGTGAAACTGAATAGGAAAAAAGGATCTGAGTGTGTGTGTGTGTGTATTTGCTCTTCTTATTTTTTAAATCCTTTTCAGTTTTAAAAAAATCCCTTTGGGATTAGTATTAAGGCCAAAAGTTAACTTTGGGAGGGACTCATGTTTTAGTTTTAGTTGCCCGATCAGGAACATGCAGAGTGTGTCACTCTCTTCATTGAGGTCTTCTTTAAGGCCTCTAAGTAACGTTTTTATAAGTCCTATAAAGGATTTATACATTTTTATAGGTTATTTACATTTGGTTTAGGTTCATTTCTTGGAGAGTACGTTTGATAGCTGCAGTTGTTACTGTATATCAGATTTTTTTTCCTGTCATTTTTTAATTGGTGTATAGGACAAATATTTTAGCATTTCTTTTATCTAACCACATATTTATTGCACTTATTGTCGTATTATTCTCTTAAAATTTCTAGGTATATTATCATATCATATGCAAAATTAATATCCTCTTTAATAATTAGACTTGTTTTTATTTTTATTTATTTATTTTTTTGAGACGGAGTCCTGCTCTGTTGCCCAGGCTGCAGTGCAGTGGCACGATCTCAGCTCAATGCAACCTCCGCCTCCCAGGTTCAAGTGATTCTCCTGCCTCAGCCTCCTGAGTAGCTGGGATTACAGTGCCTGCCACCATACCTAGCTAATTTTTGTATTTTCAATAGAGACAGGGTTTCGCCATGTTGGCCAGGCTGGTCTCAAACTCCTGACCTCAAGTGATCCACCCTCCTCAGCCTCCCAAAGTGCTGGGATTATAGGCATGAGCCACCACGCCTGGCCTGTTATTATTATTATTTTTTAATCTTATTGTATTGGTTAGAACAGCAAATTCTCAAACATTTTGTTCTCTTCCTCCACTCTGTTAAAAATTATTGAAGATCCCAAAGAGCTTTGGCTTATGTGCTTTATGTCTATTAATATTTATTGTATTAAAAATTTAAACTGGGAACTGAAACAGTATTTATTTATTATTTCACTTAAAAATAACAATACTAAACCCATTACAAACATAAATAACATGTTTTTATGAAAAATAGCATTATTTCCAAAACAAAATTTTACTGAGAACGTCATTATTTTATGTATTTTGTAAATCTCTTTAGTGTCTGGTTTAATGAAAGGATCGTGGATTTTCCTCTTTGCTTCTGCGGTGTCTGTTGTGATATGCTGTTTGGGTTAAAGTGTGTGAGGAAAATTCAGCTCACACAAACCTGTAGGTGGAAAAGGGAGAAGTATTTTAATAGCCCTTTCAGATAAAACTTGACAACTGCTAGTTTCTTAAGGATTAGCTGTAAGGTAGAATCTGAAATCATATCAATGAATCTTTCATACTGTTAGATTAAAATCAGGCACTTTCAGTGTAATTGTCTTATATCTTGAATCTTTTACCTGTGCATGATTGTATAACATCATGCATTGGCCATTTAGAAAATATTGGTTCACCGAGTTACGAAGATCTTCCCAAAGGTTAATACATTTTATTATACAACTGTCAAAAAAATCACATATATTATTCTCACGATCTATCTTACCAAAAAGATCTGTAAGCATGGGGAAGCAGCTCCCCATACTTCAGTTCCTGATGGCAAACACAGTTTCTAAAACTTCGAGTTTTGTTCAAAATACAATCATTGGCAACAATGCCATCAGTAGTGTTCCTTGAAATAACAGGCTTATTTAGTTCACTTCTGAGAAAATGTCTGCCAAATACACAAGTCTAACTAACCATAGTTTTTCTGTCAGTTTATCTTCCAAGCAGAAATGGTATGCATAGCAAAAGTTACTGGTTCAGCCTGCAACTCAGCAATCACACTAATACTTTTCCTTGAGATAACCCTGGTAATTTGGTATGTAGCAAACTTAATTGTATGTGGACTCCTCACTTCATCACACAGAACATTAAAAAAACATGTACTTCAAGGTGAGATTTAATAAGAATAGTAACTGTTACTGCTTTAACAGGGACTGTCTTTTAGTGTGACTGCCATATTTATTTACTGTGAATGCATGCGTGATGGTGAATAATACAATGATTGCTAATAAAGTTTGGTGCCACAGCCCCGATTTTTACTAAGGTGCTAGCAGCTTTATCCACCATTTCTTTTGTACCATCAGTGCAAATATAAACACAGTAAAAAAGACAAGTAACATCTTATGAAAATAGCTTTTACCTTGCAGATCCCTGGAAGGGCCTTGGGGATATCTGGGGTCCACCACACTTTGGGAACTTGTACATTAGCACTTCCACAGCAATGTAATAATGATGATAAGATTTCCTTTTCTTGACTTCATGTCTTTGGAACTGTCTAATAAGTAAACACAAATCCTGAGGCTCAATCTAATTATTTCATCATTCGTAAATATTAGACAATGATTCTGCAGCTTCAGACCCTGATGCTGAAACCACTGCCAGGACTAATGGGAAAGGAAATCCAGGTGAGCAGTCGCCGAGCCCTGAGCAGCTCATAAACAACGCAGGAGCAGGGGACTCCAGCCGCTCAACCCTTCAGAGGTACTCGAAGCTGATTCATATTTTCACTGTGTTTTGCCTTTATATCAACCTAGAGGCCAATTTCAGGGATCTGTGTTTTTTGGGGTTTTTTTTCTTGCCTTAGAAACAGAATTGGCAGGAGTAAAGTCTCACATTTTAATCCCAGCCTTCTACTTTCTCTTTGTGTAAATGCCACCTCCTGAATCTTTTTCACTGCATTCTTACTGAGTTAATGGAGAATATATTAATAGGAGAGTTTAATTTTCATTTCTCAGTTCCATTCTTCTCCCTCCTGCATGTAAGTTTGTTATGAGGAATTACTTTACAAATACTATCTCTTGATTCAGAGAGTATGATTTTCCCCCTTTTCCGACTGCTGCAGCTTATAATACCCGGTCCGGAAGTGACAGTGCCACATGTAGTGCTCTGATACTGAGTAGGTGCAAAGGAAAAAGCAGTACTTGGTGCTGGTTCTAAAGCTGAACGTGGCTGTTCCTTCTTTTTATTGTATTCTTCTGCTCCTTCTTCTAAGGCATGGGCCTCCTTATTCCATGGATTACATGGACTTTAGTCCGTGTAGTACTTTCTCACTAATATTAACTGTTGATTATAAGACAGTACTGATTTTCAGCAGATATCCATCCCTTTGACTGATAAAATAGTTCTAGAGAAATTAGTTCTACCAGAGAAAGAATTGCTATCATCATTTCACCATTATTATTATTCTTTTAGCTTCATATTATTATAGTTAACTTTTGCAAAAGGGCTCTAAAATTGCATTCAAGAAGAGAGAGGCCAACAGGACTTCCACTGAGGATGCAGTTTCTTATCAAACAGATGTTCTTCTCCTTTGGTTCAACAAAATATGCACTATATAGCACAGAGTTATAGTGTTTACTGGATTTAAACGCAGAATTTGATTTGCTGTTATGGGAAGGGAGCTAAGGTACATACTAAGCTGTGATTTAGCATATGTGTCTTGATATTTCCTAAGAAAGTAACCATCTTCTTATTCCAGTAAGGATATTTCACTGCTTCCCATTTTGTTCATAACACTTAGTCGTCTTATTCCTTTGATTCATGTTTTTACCACATTTTCCCTATAATATTAAGACGGTGACCAGTTTTGGTGATTGATTGACCGTAGACTCAGAACTGTTAGTGGTAGTGGTTAGCTTCCTCATTTTAATCCCAGCTCTTCCTCTGTCTCATTCTATGAATGCCACCAAATCTAAAGCCGCGTCAACCTCAATGTTGTAACCTACAAAACTGAAGTAAGTACAGAGAGCTATGGAAGTATTAAGACGCAATACCATAGCAGATAGGTCACTGACTGCGTATATGAAATGTATAAAGCATTATTGTTACTTTAATTACTTATAATATACGTAGAAAGAAATGCCTTTCCTTTTTCCTGTCCTACCAACCATATTCTTTCCTCTTTCACCCCACTGGATTCACTGTTCCCTTCTTTCTCCCTCTGATGCTGCCCTTGTGGCTAGAGGCAGCATGCACCCTTCAGTCCCTAACCCCTCAGCCATGTAATGCACTGACACGCATTGTCTGAAGGTGAGTGTGGACATGTGGGTCTCCTGTGTGGGGTCCAGTGTAGTAGAGGAGGAAGTCCACAGGATCCTGCATTCAGAGGCAGAACTGAGACACCACATCCATGTTCCTTTCCCTTTGAAGCGCCCTTTGAAAAGAGATTGAGCACTCATCTCACTATTCTGAAGAAATATGTTTGACCTTTAAGCCACCAACCTCTGACTAGTTTCTGCTGACCTACTTTTTCACTTGCAGTGTCATCAGTGGTGTTGGGGAACTGGATCTAGACAAAGGGCCAGTGAAGAAAGCAGAGCCCAATACCAAAGACAAACCTTATCCTGACTGCCCCTTCCTGCTGCTAGATGTGCGTGACAGAGATTCTTACCAGCAGTGCCACATTGTTGGAGGTAAGAGAGAGAGGGCTTTAAAGTGCTTCACTCTCAAGAACAGAGAGCCTGCTCTTGAGTCTAGGCAGGCTGGAACCACAGCTCATGGTAGACAGTTAAGCAAACCGTACGTTAGCTGGATCCATTATGGAATCCTACAGGATTGGCTCCACCATAAAATACTCTGAGAGGCTGCTGATTTTCACAGGTGGCGGTCAGAAGGAGGGAAATAAATGAAGCTTCATACTTTGTTCATAGTGCCCTCTTTCTTTGCTTTCACAGAAGTGTTTAGGTTTATGGCTCGTTGATTTTTTTTTTTTTTTTTTTTTTTTTGTCAATACCTTGCTGTGTGGCCAAGACTGCAGTGCAGTGGCGCGATCATGGCTCACTGCAGCCTTGCCTTCCTGGGCTCAAGTGATCCTCCTGCCTCAGCCTCTCGAGTACCTGGGACTGCGGGCATATGCCACAACATCCGGCTGTTTTTGTATTTTTTATAGAGATGAGGCCTCACCATGTTGCCCGGGCTGGCCTCAAACTCCTGGACTCAGGCGGTCCACCCACCTTGGCCTCCCAAAGTGCTGGGATTACAGGTGTGCACTACCGTGCCCAGCAGCTTATGAATTTTGAAGATGTATTTAACTCTTAGATTTTAAACCAGCTGGGAATTGAGACCAAGTTGTATTAAGAGAACAACAGACTTCCTAAACTTTTTCTTCTCTTTGCAGCTTACAGTTACCCAATTGCAACTCTGTCTAGAACAATGAACCCTTATTCAAATGATATTCTTGAATATGTATCCTTTGTTGCATTTTAAGGAATTGGGTGGTATGAGGATTATAAGAATCAAAGTTACCGTGCACCACGCTCCTGGTAAGAATGCTGTGAAGGACCTTTGATGTTATTCGGCTGAGCATATTTTAGAATTTGGATTCCTAGCTATTGCCGAGAATCCTGACTCTTGAGGCGGAGGCTTTCAAACTGTCTTGCCCTGGGCCAAAAAACACTAGGTTAAGAGTTAGGATCCATTGAGAGTTGGTCCTAAGAGAGGTTTTTCCTCCCAGAAAACTTTACATAGCAGAACTTAGGGTTTTTTTCTATTTTAATTTTTTCTTTTAAAATTTTAATTTTTTCATTCATAAAAATTATACAAGCAGAAAAAATTTTTTTTTTTTTTGAGACGGAGTCTCACTTTGTCACCCAGGCTGGAGTGCAGTGGCACGCTCTCGGCTCACTGCAAGCTCTGCCTCCCGTGTTCACGCCATTCTCCTGCCTCAGCCTCCTGAGTAGCTGGGACTACAGCCACCCACCACCATGCCTGGCTAGTTTTTTTTTTTTGTATTTTTAGTAGAGACAGGGTTTCACCATGTTAGCCAGGATGGTCTCGATCTCCTGACCTCGTGATCCACCTGCCTTGGCCTCCCAAAGTGCTGGGATTATAGGCGTGAGCCACCATGCCCGGCCAAAAATAATTTAAATACCAAAACTTATTAAAAGGAAAATTGAAATCTCTTATAATCACACAGTTGAGCAGTGGCTCCTGTTACACTATTAGTATATTTTGTTCCAGACTGTCTTTTGCGTGTTTGTTTTTTTTTAACGAAGTTGAAACCTTACTGTATATGTAATTTAGTATCCTGCTTTTTTTCAGTTCATATTCTGACGTATTTCCCCATGCTGATGCAAGCCTTCTGTAAACCACATTTTTGATGCTGTGTAATATCTTCAGATTTACTATGATTTACTAAACTATTCCTTGATTTTGGACTTTTTAGATGGCTCCCACATTTTTACTATCATAAATAGGCTTCAGTGGACACATTAGGCATAGAAGTTGTTCTATTTATTCATCTGTAAAATGGGGATTGCAATATTTACTTTCCAGGGTCGTAAGGATAAGAGAGCTAAAGGATGTAGAGTCTGTAACTAGTACTGTCTCTTAGACCATGGTAACATCAGTTTGCAGAAAAAACGAATACCAGTTTGTGTGGTTTCCATGACAGGAAACCATCCAGTCCCTGCTGGTGTGATGGTAAGAATGGGCTTGTCCATCGTTCCCAGGAACTCAGACAGGTGGACTGACCTTTTATTCCTTGGAGGTTTCTCGTAGTCTTGGGACATCAACCCAGTGCCTTGGAACCTTAACTCATCTGACTCTTAGAAAAATGCCCATGGCAAGATCATCATTCTGTATGACGACGATGAAAGGCTGGCCAGTCAGGCGGCCACCACCATGTGCGAGCGTGGATTTGAAAACCTCTTCATGCTTTCCGGAGGTGAGCAAGTGATACTCTGCTTGGGACTTCAAAGGCCAATCATCCTTCAGTCCTACCTGCATCCCCTTTTCTCTCTTGGTGCTCAGAATTCAGTGTTCTGGAAAGAGAAAAAGCCATGCTGGCTGAAAGGAGTCAGGAGTTATGTGAAACTTCCCTTAGCTTCATCAGCACATGTTTTTAATTCCTGATGTTGCTTCAGGGCTCTGTCAGAAAGCCCTAATGCGGAAGACTTGAGCAAAAGGATTTCTTGTGGAATTCTCAGAATCCCATGTAACAACAAATATTTTCTGGTATAATTTGCTTAATGATGAAATAGTTAAGAAAAATTTCATGTCCTTGTGTTGGCCTCAACTTGATGACCAGAGATTAGAAGACATGCAGGCTTCTTTCCAGGTTTTGGCTTGGCCTTGCCATATTAATGCAGCTTTTTCTGATGCTTTTCCAAACCTAGGTCTAAAAGTCTTAGCTCAGAAATTCCCGGAAGGACTGATTACTGGTTCCCTGCCAGCATCTTGCCAGCAGGCCCTTCCTCCTGGTTCTGCCCGGAAACGATCCAGCCCCAAAGTGCCACCCCTACCAGCTGAGAACAAATGGAGATTTACCCCAGAAGACTTAAAAAAGATAGAATATTATCTGGAAGAGGAGCAAGGGCCTGCAGATCATCCTAGTAAGATCTTTTGACCTTTAAAGACAATATTTGGTTTGCAGCCTTGAATATCACCTCATCATATGAAAACCTTCATCTCTTATATTTAGATTCTTAAAATACTAGGGAGGTGTGTTACAGGTGCTGGGGAGGGGAGGCAGTGGAGGTGACCCCAGATAGTGGCAAGAATTATGCATTGAAGAGAGACTTCATCAAAACGTAGAGACTTTTTTTTTTTTTTTTTGAGACAGAGTCTTGCTCTGTCACCCAGGATGGAGTGCTGCAACCTCCGTCTCACTGGTTCAAGCGATTCTCCCACCTCAGCCTCCTGAGTAGGTGGGATTACAGGTGCCTGCCACCATGCCAGGGTAATTTTTTTTTGTATTTTTAGTAGAGACAGGGTTTCACCATGTTGGCCAGGCTGGTCTCGAACTTCTGGCCACAAGTCATCCACCTGCCTCAGCCTTCCAAAGTGCTAGGATTACAGGCATGAGCCACCGCGCCCAGGCAAAAATGTAGAGACTTCATCAAAAAGTATATCTCAGGCAAAACTGAGGAGTTAAACATCAGACATTCAGATTCTTTCTTGGAAAGTTTTTGATTCCTTCTGCTGCGTTTGCTTCTCCACTCTGAGAGCCTCCATGGTTTGTCTTCCTACCTTAGTTTCACCATACTGCATTCTCTTTTCTTTCCCCTAATCGCTCCTCAACTGCATCCTCTCTACGAAGGAAGTAGTGGAGGACAGACTAGGTTTGTTGGGGATGATGGAGAGGAAGGGAAAAAAACCTATCTGTGTTTCCCTTCGTTTCTGTCCCCCTCGCCACCTTCAGGCTGATCTCAAGGATATTGGCCTAAAGTAGGTACTGCACATGACTTCATTAGCTTAAAACTGTACTTGGCAGATTGTCCCTGGAATCATTCTTGCAGCTATCTTCCTTCTTTCTTGCTCCCTTCAGGCCGACTGAACCAAGCTAACTCCTCTGGAAGAGACTCCAAGGTGCCTGGTGCCCGAAGCACTCAGAATCTGCCTGGCGGGGGCCCTGCCAGCCATTCAAACCCCCGCTCCCTCAGCAGTGGCCACCTGCAAGGCAAACCCTGGAAGTAAAGACTTTGTCTCTGCCTAAGTAAAAACTTAGGCAAATAAATGTTTTTCCTCTTTTCGGAACCCCTGAGCATTTCCCAAGTTGGGTCATTTCCAGAAACTTCTGCAGAGGAAAAGACCATGACATACGTATGGGATAGGCCCTCTTCCCTCTCCCTATCTCCAGTTCCTCTCCCCTCGGGAGGCCACCTCGGGAAGAATTTTGACAGGTGACCACAAAAACCAGAGGCGTGACAGGCTCTAGTGTCCTCCCTGTTGTTTACAGCATATTTAAGTCTTGTGAAACTGTAGAGGAAAAAAGGATCTAAGTTTTTAGTTTTTTGTTTTTTGTTTTTTGTTTTTAAATAAGGTTCAGCTTGTTGGGTATCTCTTCATTGTTTTGTAAATACTTCAGTCACATCCGCCCGTGTGCCCCTCCTGACCACCTTTTCGTTCACTGTTCTTGACTTCATGAAGGCTTCTCTTTGCAGTCTTGATGTGAGAAGCTGTTTCCAGGGGTGCAGATGAGCCTTAGGTTCCAGCCGCCTGCAGGCCCCACCCCCACGGACTCACTCGGCAAGGAGCTCTCTGCCCAGCATACTGCAGGCCCTATTTTGAGTATGAAAGCCAGTGCCTGTGTGCATCGCTCAAATTGAAGATGGGGAGAGTAGCTGTACACTCACTGAATACTCCCCCTTATTAGATACTTTCCTGGAGCCAGAAAGGTGTGCATGTGGGCGTCTTCACACCGGGGAGGAGGGCCTCTCATGGGAAAGCCCTGGCCACCACACCCTTGAAGCCCACCAAAGCGGCCCTCACTTGTGGTCAGTATATCAGTTTTAATGCCCATTGCCCAGCTTCAGTCCATCCATGTTAGATGGATAGAAATTATGGCCACTTGAAAATACCAGCTTTGGTTGGACAACTGTGGACGCACAAGGTGAAGAGAACTCCAAAGTCCTTTCTCAGGGCTGACAGCCTCGTAAGCCCTTGCTTAGAAATACAGTATTAGTTTAATTGAGTAATTAGTGCAATTTCCTGCTTACTTTTCATTCTCATGACTGAACTGTGATTAGGAAGTTGTGATTATAGATTCTGGTTTTGGCCGGAATTTTGAATCAGCATTAATTGAATTGCTAAATGACTGACATTCATTCCATTTAATTGGGGGAACAAAAGGCCTCAGGTAAGGATGAGAAACTCTGAAATCAGATGGAAAAGAGCCGTGTTAATTTTTATGGTCTGTGATCGTAGCTGTGATAAGGGACTGAGGAATAAATTGTGCTCTTTGTCATGGCAACCAGCTTCTGAAAAGCCAGCTGAAAATTGCCTGTCCTGCTGGTAACTGCTACAGGGTAAGATTTGCCTTAACAGTACTATTTTCTCGCCACGAAAAAAAAAAAAGAAATGCACCACAGTATTTCCAGCATGGGGGCTGTGTTTGTATGAGAAATAAACGTAATAAATATCTCATAAAGACATATGGAAAAATAACTTTCAGATTCAACCCAGTTCTGTTTTAGAGAGTGTTTATTCTTCTCTACTTGATTTCCAAAGTGCAACATTTTCCGATGCTTTAGAAATCAAACAAACCAGGAACATTGTTCAGATGTCAAGCCGTGCCCAATTTTCCACAAGATTCAAGAATCTTGTATAAAATTCAGCCAACGTACACATAGCTTTAATGAGGAGTCTGTCATGTTTCCCCATAAATTTATTGCCTGAGAACTTAGTTCAGGCTTTGCTAATGCCAAAATGCTCTGGCTTTGTATTTTCTTTACAGCGTAGATAGAAAAATGCACATTTTTCCACATTCAACTTTCCCCTAGCATGGACAAGATTTTCAGCCATTTTTGCCACATATACATTTTAAGGAAAAAATATTTTTCTCTGTAACAAAGTTCTGGTTATGCCGTTTTAAAGGTGACTTGTCAGGAGTTGAGACTTCCCTGCCGCATTCTGTTTTGAAAGTAAATGGTCTCCCTCCTTGTTCCGATTCTGCATTCCCATCGTCAACTTTGGAGTGTTGGAAACCACTGTATATATGTGGAAAGCCAGGTCAGCCAGACCTATTAGAACTGGTGTGCACTCACCTGAGAGATCTGGCGGGTTGAATATATTTGTGTGTATTTCTCCATAGTGCTTGCTTTGCCCTGTTGGTAAGGATTTTAAATAACCATGCTGAAAAGAGCTGTTCTAATTCTGCACTTTGCATGTTAAATGTTCATATCAAACATTCTTTATGTGCTCGAGGTATTGCTTTTTACATTGCTTTACCAGTTTCTTCATTAGATTAATTGACATGTATTATTTAAATGACCAGTGATGCTTTGTGCAATTATGAATGTTGAAGATTAAAGTACATAGTTACTAATTTGTCGTTTGCTATGAATACGCTGAAAACTGCCAACTTCTCTCTTCTTTTCTGTCGAGATGATTTGGGGAGCCACAGGAGACTGGTGTGATTTTTGCTGCATCTCCTAGAAAAGCATTTTTTTTTTTTTTTTAAATAAATGAATCAGGAAATCAGTCCAATTAGGGCAGGGGGCCTCAGCTCTCCAGTCAGAAAGCCTGGATTTCTTTTCCTGCTCAGGCTGGGATTGAAGCCACCTTCAACAACTAGATCATGGCTTCCTGCCAGCGTCTCAGGGGTTGACTAGCTGCCCTTGTCTGGGGCTTATGAACCCTGAGACGGAAGGTGCTTCATCCGTGCACAGCTACAGCGCCACCTGAACAACAGTGATTGCCAAAGTTTAAATAATACCTTAAATGCTTTAAAGGGGTTTGTATTTAAGGAAGGGAGAAAAGAAGGAAAGAAGCAAGGAAATAGGAAGAAGGGAGGGCACAGAGAAAAAGAGAGGCAGAAAGTGAGGGAGAAAAGAGAAAGCTACATTACTTATTTGAAAACAAAAGGAACACCCTGGGCTCTAATAATGTCAGGCTCAATCTCTTGAAAAATGTAGAATGATTTAAATGGCCTGCATTCATTTTATCTTTTTTTTTTTTTTTTTTTAAACCTTTAGTGGTTAGCCAGGACCAGCACAATCATACTGGGCTTGGTATAAATCCGAATGAAAAGAGCACAAATAACATTCATTAGTTGCTCGGGGATTTTTCCTGTGGTGCTATTTAAATTATACAAAAATTCTTAAGACTTTAGGCTACTCGACCAAGAAAACAGAACAAAACAAAGACCGTGTTTTCTCTAATTCCCTTGTGGAATGTAAGTGAAATCAGAGTCCTAGGCTAGGAAGAAATACATAGGTAATTTTTCTTGTGTTGGTTTTGGTTTCTGTCATGTTGTTTATGGGCTATAGATTCTGTCTTTTATGTTATCTGACTTTTTTAGAGCGAATAATTAGTTTCTGTCCACCTAGATTTAAATCCATGACCACCTTCTTGCTCTACTCTGAAGATAATCATTAAGAACCTTTCTTTCCCCAGTTCCAAAACGTTCTCAGTGTCTTTAATGTGTGTTTATTTTCTTCCCAATTCTTTCAAAGATTTAACTCCCATGATACTTCCTCCCCCTGCCCCAGGAAACATCAGAAACATGTATAATTATAATTCACCAGTTTAATTATGTGAGCATGTTGAGTACTTACATGCAGGTCCATTAAGTTTTCACTAACAAATATTTTTTCATGCAAAAGCAATAAATAACATTGTGCTTCCAAAATGTTCAGAATACATTTGGGTAGTAATACTTTCCTAGACTTACAATAATGAAAGTATTCTTACGACATCTTAAAATGGATACACAGGTCAGTTACAACATACAAAATGTAATGGTGGAAATTTGTCAGTCTTGAATTCAGGCAGAACAGGATTCAGTGCATGATTTTATGTGTTTTCAAAACTGTATCTGTCACATTGTGATCCCCTGATGGCCCCCCTCTCTGTTGCTGATCCTCTTTGTTCTGTGCAGAAGCAAATTCTCACCTGTGTAACGTCCTGAGGCACCTGGTAAAATGTGAGGTGAAGAAAGGCCACTTCTCAAATGCTGTGGACGGAGGGCTGCATCTTTTAAAGGACATCAATATGTCTTCCTGTTGCAATTATTTTGACTGTAAGCTCCCAGAGGGTGAAAATCACCAACCCTGTGACAGTGGCCCTTAATAAGTGTTCATGAATAAATGAATTGAACCTGTCAAGATTGAAGTCTGGATGTGATGCCCACTGTGGTGGCCACTCAGTGCTAGTCTGTCATTCTGCAGACCCAGAAAGCTCGTTATCTTCTGTCCCCCTGGTGTATCCTGCCTTTGTAGGCGAGGCATTCAAAACCCTGAGGTTTTTAGATCTCCCTCTACAGGAAGTACCTAGAGAGCTGTTGGGGGTGTTATTACCCTGTCTCTGCCAGGCTTAAAGTATCCTCCAGAATTCAGCACGCACAGGTCACACACCGCCCCCATCCAAGAGTGGGTTATTTTTCTCTTTTGTTTCAAATCTTGAAGATTTCCAGAAAATAATAATACTAGCCAATGTTTGTGGAGAGCTTACTTTGCTCCTAGATTCTTCATTATATGTTTTGACTCATTTAATTTCCACAACAGTCTGATGAGTCAGGCACCCCCATTTTCAGATGAGGAGACTGAGGTTCGGGTAGAAATTAAGTGATTCAGGTTTGCCTTCAGTCTCTGAGCTAGGAGGTTGAAAAGCCAGGAGCCAGCCTGAGAACTGTGATTCCAGAGGATGTTCTTTCAGCCACTCCGCTCTGTGCTTCTTACTCTGGGTGGGCACAGCCGTGTTCTCCCTTGGTGATGCCTCTAATTTACCGTGAAAATGTACCTTTCCCTTGGCTATTGGCTTCCCTTCCCTCCTAGTCACCCGAGATTCTTTTGAAAACTTTCCTCCGCTTGCCTGCACAAAAGGCGATGGAAATTCAGGAACTGAAATATCTGCTCCGGGGAGTGTGTATTTCCACATTTCCACCGTCTGTGTCTGGTGTCCTGTCTTGAAGACAGGTGCTCCAGGGTTTCCGAGGTTTATTTTGTCTGTTAATGGACACCTTGCGAAGTACCACTTAAGGAATGAGAATTACAAACTTCTAATTATATTGTAGGAGAAAAAAAGTAGGCTGTTTTCCTGATAGGCCGAGCCATTCATTCAATAAACCATATTGATATGATTTGTGCCTGACCTTTTCTTTCCTTTGTGGTGATGTTTCTGATTTCCACTGAAACATAAGTTGCATGAATTGGGGATGGCCATAGGCTTAAGTTCCCGGGGAAATCAGAGGCAAACCTCCTTGCTCCAGTCCTTGTCAGCAGAGCCCTTATTCTACTGCAGTCTTCTAAAAATGTAGCTGATACCACTACTGTGGTTAAGCAGAAGACTTTCAATTTTCTCCTTTTAGTTTGGCAATAAACATTTGGCAATCCCAGTCTCTGAGGTTGTTGGATGATGCTCAGTGTTAAAGTTGCCAAATTAATGCAGATCCTGAAAGCTTTGGGGAAGAATTCATTACCCTTTGACAGTTCTTTAGATTTGATGATGCTCTGTGCTTTTCTGAGGGCTTCTCCTTGATTTGGCCAATTTGGATGTTACAGTTGGTCATATCAGCTTCATCTGAGTAGCAACTGGGTCTTAGTGTGTTCACAGAATGATGTTGCTGTAGTTCCTAAAGCAAGGGTCCCTGTGCATCTTCAGATCCACCTCGACCCACTCGCCCCTGCAAAACAATTGCCAGAATGATGAATAACCCTGCACTGGATGAAGGACCAGTGAGGTCATATCTGGATTGTATTCAATGACATTCCCATTTTAACTTTAGGCCGAAGACAGAAAGCTAGCCATGCATATCTGAGTGTTAATTCAAGAGACTACCCTAAGGATTCTCATGGACCATCAATATTGGGCCCACAGGCCGTTAGAGAACAATATGTAATGGTCTAAGTAAAAAGTAAAATGAGTTCATTTGAAAATAATAGACTTTCAAAGGCCCTGGTGAATAGGCATTAGCATAATCAATTCCCAAGACTGCTACAAGAACTGAATGTGAGCAGGAAGGGCTTTTGGGAATTTTCATCAAGCTACAATAAGGTGTAGGATGGGGAATGGCCCCCAACTGCATGAGCTGAGGAATCTCTTCCCCTGGTAGAAACACTGCTGCTTCCAGCTGTACCTTGGAGTGTACATTTTTCTCAAGATAAGACAAACAGCAGCGTTCTGGGCAAGATGATGAAATATGATACCAGAGCAGAAAAAAATGAGTTTAGACAAAGTAAAAGAATCTGAGCAAAAACTAAGATGGCCAGTTAGCTGTTTGATGTTGATAATAAACCGATGTTAGGTAACTTTACACACAGGTTATCTACCGTGTTTGAAATAGCTCCCTTCGCTCCCTGCCCATTATAAAAGCTGATCATAAAAGCTCATTGCGAGAAATGCTGAGAAGCATAAAAAGGAAAACTACCACCACCACTACCCAGGTTAGTCAGCATTATTATTGGGGGTATCTCCTTCCAGGAAGAGAGAGAGGGGGAGAGAAAGCGCGTGTGTGAGTGTGTGTGTGTGTGTTTGTCTTTTAAACAAGATGGGATCTGGACTCAATATTTTGTATCCAGCTTCTTTTTTAAAACAACCGTATTGTATAAGTCACATACCATTAAATTCACCCATTTTAAGTGTACAATTCAATGATGTTGAGTAAGTTTACAGAATTGTGCAACCATCACCACAATCATTTTATTATGTTTCCATCTTATAGCCAGTTTCTATCACTTAGTATGTTGTGAACATTTTTCCATGTCAACACACCCCTTAATGATTTCATGTTGTTCTAGTGTGTGGATGTGTCAGATCAGCATCAAGACTGGTCATTATCTAGGTTCATTTTATTTTTTACTTTTCCAATCTTGTACATACATATTTTTGAACCCATCCAAATATTTTTGTAAAGTAAATTCTTCCATGTGGGTTTTCTGGGTCAAAGACACAATACACTTACAACTTTGATTTATATTGCCAAATTTGCCCTCCGGGAAGGTGGTGCCAATGTCCGCGCCACCAGCACTGCATGTTAACGCTGGAGTCGTCAGTCTTTTTATTCTCTGCCAATCTGATGAGAGAAAAATATCTTCATTTCTCCTTAACGAACAAGAAATCACTTAGAGGATCAGTATCTTTCATACATGTATTGATTTGTTTGTGTTTCTTAGTGGAATTGCCTATTTTGCCTATTTTTCTTTTGAAATGTTAGTCTTTTTCTTTAACCCCTTTTATGATTTTAACTCCTTAAAGTTATTAATACTTATTTTCATATCAATACTTTTATTTTTAAGTTACAGTAATTTCCAAAATTGTCTTTTAGGTTATTAACACATTTTCATATCAATACCTTCATTTTTAAGTTGCAGTCTTTTCCAAAATTCTTTTAGCTTTATGTTTTTACTTAGGAATTTTAAGTGTTTTCACCCATAGATTTGTAAAAATATGTATCAACAAACAAAATGTAAATCTCTTCCCACACTTGAAAGTACCAAAAAAAAAAAAAAAAACTTTCATGTCTCCATTTAACAAGCATTTATTATTTTTTAATATATTTCAGTTTGTTTATTTATTTATTTATTTAGACAGAGTCTCCCTCTGTCACCCAGGCTGGAGTGCAGTGGAACAATCTTGGCTCACTGCAACCTCCACCTCCTGGTTTCAAGCAATTCTTATGCCTCAGCCTCCCGAGCAGCTGGGATTACAGGCATGCACCACCACCCGGCTAATTTCTGTATTTTTAGTAGAGACAGGGTTTCGCCATATTGGCCAGGCTAATCTCAAATTTCTGACTTCAAGTGATCCACCCACCTCGGTCTCCCAAAGTGCTGGGATTACAGGCATGAGCCACCACACCCAGCCTAAAATTGTTTTTTTATAGAGACTGGGTCTCACTGTGTTGCCCAGGCTGGTCTTGAAATCCTGAGCTCAAGCAATCCTCCCACCTCAGCCTCCCAGAGTATTGATATTACAGGCATGAGCCACTGTACCTGGCCAAGCATTTATTATTATTGATATTAATATCAATATTATTACTATGTGCTGTGCACTTGGCCAAGCAGTGGGGGTTAAATGGTGAACAAAACAAAGCAATCCTTGCCCTTGTGCAATTTACATTCATTCCTTGACTTCAGCTTTCTTAAGACTTACTTGCTCAACTCTGGGAATTCAAAATAACTTGCGCAGGGTATTTTCAGCAAGCCTACAACATACAGATCATAACATTTATGAATTCACTAATAAAAGTAGACAGCATTCACTCCACAGGTATCTATTGGGCATCTATGTGTCAGGTACTGTTAATGCTATTGGGGGTTGAATGCCAAACAAGGTGGTTCCTGCTGTCAGGAAGCACAGTTTATTTTAAATTAAGCAATTCTACCATCAAAGTCTAGTGATCCAGTTTTATAAAATGATAAATTGTCATGCTAACTTAATATTTCTTCTCTTATCAGTTTTCATTAAACAAAAGATGATCAGCTTCCTACTCACCCAAACTAAGCAGTTAAAATGGGTTTTGAAAAGAGAGTTATAATCTCTTGATAAACAGATTGAAGGGAAGCATTTTCTAAAAGATAACTTGAAGACGGTGTTGTCAAATCTTTTAGGTCATCTTTCTGTAAAGACTGAAACACCATTTTACCTTGTCTCATAAACTTACATGCTTATAAATTTATGTAAACAATATAATGTAACAATGTAACAAATATATACAAAATGTAACAACACATACATAGAGCCTCATTCTTCTTTTTTTTTTCTTTTTTAGAGACAGGGTCTCACTTTGTCGTCCAGGTTGGAGTGCAGTGGTGCCATCATGGCTCACTGCAACTGCAAACTTCTGGGCTCAAGGGTTCTTCCCACCTCAGCTTCCCAAGTGGCTGGGACTATAGGTGCATGCCACCACACCCAGCTAATTTTTTATTTTTTGTACAGATGGGGGGGGGTTCGCTATGTTGCCCAGGCTGGTCTCAAACTCCTGGGGTCAAGCAATCTCCCTGCCTCAGCCTCCCAAAATGCTGGGATTACAGGTGTGAGTCACTGTGCCCAGCCCTCATTCTTTTTATTTTTAGAATGTTGATAGCAAAAACAATATTAAATAAAAGTCCAAGATGAAAATTCCATCCATGTTCCTTTTTTGTAAAAAAAAGGCATTTTTTACCTT